GTAGAGGGCACGAAAGGTGGAGGAGGGCTGGGGGGGTGGGGTAAAAGAATTATATCACACTACTTATAAGGTTTATACAGTTTATGAAGTGGGCTCTTTTTTTCTCCTTTGGCTAATTTTGGGCAACATTTGCCCTTTGGGCCCAATTCGGCCCCAAAAAAACGGCCTCAAAGGGCCCAACAATGGGAAACGTGCGGCTGGATTTGGCCAAATTTTGCCGAGCAGCTTTCGGGCAAAATTTGGCCAAATCGGGCTGCTCGTCGTACGCGATGAGAAATGCGCGGCTCGATTTGGCCAAATTTTGCCGGGCAGCCTCCGGGCAAAATTTGGCCAAATCGGGCTGCTCTTCGTAGGCGATGAGAAAGGTGCGGCTCTATTTGGCCAAATTTTGCCGGTCAACTTTCGGACAAAATTTGGCCAAATCAGGCTCTTCGTACGCGATGAGAAAGGCGCGGCTCGATTTGGCCAAATTTTGCCGGGCAGCCTTCGGGCAAAATTTGGCCAAATCGGGCAGCTCTTCGTATGCGATGAGAAAGGCGCGGCTCGATTTGGCCAAGTTTTGCCCGGAGCTTCCCCCCCTCTCAAGAATTTAATAATGATTAATTTAAGTACGACGGGGAGGTTTCGGATTGAAATTATTTAAATTATTTAATTCTTAGGGGGCGGGGAGGGTGGTTTCCCCCCCTTCTCGGATTTAAATTATTTAAACTATATAAGTTAGTTACATTATTTGAACTATTTAAATTGTTTTAATTATGTAAATTATTTAATCAAAGCTTTACATATCTCCCTTGCCTCTCCCTAATTAGAAATACCAATCTTGCTATTCACAGATAGGTGCCCTTCTCATGCTTTTTTGTGTTAGCACGGCTCTACTGACACATATTCCGCGAAAAATGTGTCATGCTTTTTGTGTTAGCAGAACTCTGGTGACACATATTCCGCGGAAAATGTGTCATGCTTTTTTGTGTTAGCACGGCTCTACTGTCACATATTCCGCGGAAAATGTGTCATGTTTTTTTGTGTTAGCACAGCTCTACTGACACATATTCCGCGGAAAAAATGTCATGTTTATGGTGCTTAGAGAACTCTGGTGACACATATTCCGCGAAAAATGTGTCATGCTTTTTTGTGGTAGCACGGCTCTACTGACACATATTCAGCGGAAAAATTGTCATGTTTTTGGTGAAATTTACGAACACTTACCCCCCGATAAGCAAGACTTGGAACCACTCCGCGTTCTCAGCCTTTAAGAGTTTAAGGGGGTTTCAAATTCAGGGATACTTGTATTTGCTCCTTGAAACTTACGAACACTTACCCCCCCGATAAACAAGACTTGGAACCTGCAGACAACAACAAACAGGTCTGTCGCAAAACTTCGACCATTGATACATACCCCCTGTAGCGGGGTATGTCGCGCATGTGGGCCGCGGCCCCGTTACAAGCAATTAATATTGGCACGCGGCCAATTTTTTTCTTTCTCAACTATCTCAAAGGGCGCACTGTCTAGATCGCAAGCATAATTTCATTGTGTCTTGACGCATCATAGTGTACCAAAGTCTCTGCATCGTAAGCATTGTTTTCTTTGAGCTTTAGTACAGTTTTTTGTACTAAGGTCTTTAAGCCGTAAGCACTGTTAACGGGAAAGGGCGAGGAGGATAGCTTGTGATAACTATGACAATTTATCATAATTATGATACCTTATCATAAGTATGATAACTTATGATAACTTATCATAATTATAATAACTTATCATAATTATGAAAAGTTGCTTATCATATTTATCATACTCTGAGATAAAGAACTTGAAGTTATCATAATTATGATAATTTAGATCGGGAAGCTAAAGTTATCATAATTATGATAACTTATGATGGGGAAGTTGAAGTCATCATAATTATGATAACTTCAGGTTGGTAGTTTGGAGTGGAGGGGCAGGAGGGGTTAGGTGCGAGTGGTGTGGGTGTAGTAAATTGTTGCAAGGGGGCGTGTTGGGGGTGATGGGGTCGGGGAGCAGGTTGCAGGTGCGACGCGGTGCGTGGGGTGGCGCTCTGCGAAGTGAGGTGGAAATTGGGGAGGGGCAGGGGAGGGGAGAGGAGGGGTTAAAGCACAAGCCCTCCAGCCCCTCCCCTCCAGCCCCGCAGAGCCCTCCAGCCAGCCCCTCCAGCCCGCCCCTCCAGCCAGCCCCTCCAGGCGCCCCTTCAGCCTCCAGGTTCCTCCAGCCACTCCAGTTCTTCCAGTTCCTCCAGCCCCTCTAGCCTCTCCAACCCCTCCAGCCCTTGCAGCAGCCCCTCCAGCCAGCCAGCCCCTCCAGCCCCCTCCAGCCCCCTCCAGCCCCTCCAGCTCCAGCCCATCCCTTCAGCCTCCAGGTTCCTCCAGTTCCTCCAGCCCCTCCAGCCCTACCTAAATAATTTAGTTTATGGCTTGGCTGAGTTTCCCCACAATTAAATTAATTTAAACGATTTAAACGATTTAATTGGGTCCAATTAAATCGTTTAAATCCGACGCCTCAATTAAATAATTTAATTCGACCGTAGGATTTAAACGATTTAATTGGGTCCAATTAAATCGTTTAAATCCGACGCCTCAATTAAATAATTTAATTGGACCGAAGGATGTAAACGATTTAATTGGGCCCAATTAAACCGTTTAAATCGTTTAAATCGTTTAAATTAATTTAATTGTGGTGGGAGGTGAGTACAGACAGGCACAGAGCCAATTAAATTATTTAAATCCGACGCCTCAATTAAATAATTTTATTAGACCGTAGGATTTAAATGATTTAATTGGTTTATGGCTTGGCTGAGTCCCCCCACAATTAAATTAATTTAAACGATTTAAACGATTTAAACGATTTAAACGATTTAATTGGGTCCAATTAAACCGTTTAAATCCGACGCCTCAATTAAATAATTTAATTCGACCGTTTAAACGATTTAATTGGGTCCAATTAAATCGTTTAAATCCGACGCCTCAATTAAATAATTTAATTGGACCGTAGGATTTAAACGATTTAATTGGGCCCAAGTAAATCGTTTAAATCGTTTAAATCGTTTAAATCGTTTAAATTAATTTAATTGTGGTGGGAGGTGAGTACAGACAGGCACAGAGCCAATTAAATTATTTAAATCCGACGCCTCAATTAAATAATTTCATTAGACCGTAGGATTTAAACGATTTAATTGGTTTATGGCTTGGCTGAGTCCCCCCACAATTAAATTAATTTAAACGATTTAAACGATTTAAACGATTGTTTTTGTGGTTTTTTGTAAACGATTGTAATTGGGTACAATTAAGCCGTGGAAATCCGAATAACCCCCCCCCCCACCACGCCCGATATTGCCGTGATGTTTACCTCACACGCCTAATAAAATTAATTCGACACCGTAGGATTTTTTTTTTTTTAAAACGATTTTTAAACGATTTAATTGGATCCAATTAAATCGTTTAAATCGTTTAAATCGTTTAAATCGTTTAAATTAATTTAATTGTGGTGGGAGGTGAGTACAGACAGGCACAGAGCCAATTAAATTATCTAAATCCGACGCCTCAATTAAATATTTTAATTGGACCGTAGGATTTAAATGATGTAATTGGTTTATGGCTTGGCTGAGTCCCCCCACAATTAAATTAATTTTTACGATTTAAACGATTTAAACGATTTAATTGGGCCCAATTAAATCGTTTAAATCCGACGCCTCAATTAAATAATTTAAATAGACCGTAGGATTTAACGATTTAATTGGGTCCAATTAAATCGTTTAAAACCGACGCCTCAATTAAATAATTTAATTGGACCGTAGGATTTAAACGATTTAATTGGGCCCAATTAAATCGTTTAAATCCGACGCCTCAATTAAATAATATAATTGGACCGTAGGATTTAAACGATTTAATTGGCCCCAATTAAATCGTTTTAAATCGTTTAAATCGTTTAAATTAATTTAATTGTGGTGGGAGGTGAGTACAGACAGGCACAGAGCCAATTAAATTATTTAAATCCGACGCCTCAATTAAATAATTTTATTAGACCGTAGGATTTAAATGATTTAATTGGTTTATGGCTTGGCTGAGTCCCCCCACAATTAAATTAATTTAAACGATTTAAACGATTTAAACGATTTAAACGATTTAAACGAAATTTAAACGATTTAAACGATTGGGTCCAATTAAATCGTTTAAATCCGACGCCTCAATTAAATAATTTAAATAGACCGTAGGATTTAAACGATTTAATTGGGTCCAATTAAATCGTTTAAATCCGACGCCTCAATTAAATAATTTAATTCGACCGTAGGATTTAAACGATTTAATTGGGTCCAATTAAATCGTTTAAATCCGACGCCTCAATTAAATAATTTAATTCGACCGTAGGATTTAAACAATTTAATTGGGCCCAATTAAATCGTTTAAATCCGACGCCTCAATTAAATAATTTAATTGCACCGTAGGATTTAAACGATTTAATTGGACCCAATTAAATCGTTTAAATCGTTTAAATCGTTTAAATCGTTTAAATCATTTAAATTAATTTAATTGTGGTGGGAGGTGAGTATAGACAAGCACAGAGCCAATTAAATTATTTAAATCCGACGCCTTACTTATTCAAAAAAATAGGGCGTAGGATTTAAATAATTTAATTAAGCTCTCTCTATTTAAATAGTTTAATGTATTTAAATAAATTAAATTATTTTCTGCTTATAAAAAAAAGGAATGAGCTAAATAGACCCTAAAGGCTGCTCTTTCATATATATATATATATATATGTATATATCTATATATAGACATTGATTTAGATATAGATAAAGATATAGATATAGACATAGTTATATAGATATATAGATATATAGATATATAGATATATAGATATATAGATATATAGATATATAGATATATAGATATATAGATATATAGATATATAGATATATAGATATATAGACACATAGATATATAGATATGTAGATATGTAGATATGTAGATATTACACACGTACAGCCAAGGCGGCAGGCTGTCGACGAGCAGCAGCTGCAGCAGCAGCTACACGAGGTTCCGCTTCAGCCTCGAGCATCAAGGGAAGGTCAGGGCTGGGTTGAGGGTGTAGGGTATGGGGTTTAGGGTTTAGGGTGTGGGGTTTAGGGTTTAGGGTTTAGGGTTTAGGGTTTAGAGTTTAAGGGCTTAGGGTTTAGGGCTTAGGGCTTGGTAATTGATATACTCTACGCTACTGTGGCCCCTATTGGTTTAGGGTTTGAAGTTAGGGTCATACTATACTCTACATTACTATAGCCGCTACTGCGAGAACGCGAAGGAAGGTTGTGGGGTTCAGGGTCCTACCCCACACTACTATCATCCCTATTGAGGGCTTGGGGTAAGGATGCTTCTCTACACTACTATAATCCCGGCTAAGATAAATTGACCATAAACCCTTTCAGGGAAGCCCCTGGCGGAGTTCTGCTTTCAGGCTCCTTTTAAAGACCAGATGTAGGATGTTCGCCGGTGTCCCTTGAGAAGCCTCCAACTCCAAGCAGTGTGAGGGAATGAGGCCCAATTTCTGGGGGGGGGGATAGCAACTCAGCCATTTGTGTTACCCTGAACCCTAAGGACCCTAAGAACCCTAAACACCTAAACCCTACAAGCCTTTTGTCCCCGGGCTGGCCTCATCATCTAACCGGCCATGAAGGGCTAAGGGTTTAGGGTTTTAGGATTTAGAGTTTTGGGGTTTGGGGTTTCGGGTTTAGGGTTTTAGGATTTAGGGTTTTGGGGGTGTTAGCCCGTGCAATCCGCTATAGTTCATGCGGGGCCAGTTTGGTCTGACTTGATTCTTGGGGGCGGGGATGTTACGCCCCACCGAACCCACGGTGCCTCAAGGTTGCTAGCACGTTCCTCCCGAGATGTACGCTTTTTATGTATATTTGTATAATAATAATAATATTATTAATAATAATCGTAATAATAATAATAATAACTTGTGTGTGCGTTGTCTTGAAGTTCTAGCTGCCTCGGACCAGCTTTGGCTTTCGCGCAGAGGCGGGACATGGGATTCCCTTCCGTACCCTGCACCCAAGCATCGACGTGGCCTTCATGACAAGATCGTCCGAAACGCCTAGACGCCTGAAGAATGACGAACCTGAAACCCTAAACCCTAAACCCTAGCCCTAAACCCTAAACCCTACACCCTACACCCTAAACCCTAAATTCCTTAGCCTGCAACCCTGGAGCCTAGAAGCCCTCGCAAGCCTGGGGTTCTGACCCTGGTCTCTCTCGTGAGCCATGGCCTCCAGCGTTGAAGCAGAGAGGCTCGTATTTACAACGCGGCCTGGGCCGCAATTCGCTTGGTTTGTTAGGGTTTCGGGTTTCGGGTTTAGGGTTTAGGGTTTAGGGTTTAGGGTTTAGGGTTTAGGGTTTAGGGTTTAGGGTTTTGGTTTTAGGGTTTAGGGTTTAGGGTTTAGGGTACCTAGGACGCTACGCTAGGGCCCAGAGTAGGCCGTCATTCCCCTTTTTGTTCGGGCTTCGGTTCCCTTACAAGCCCCGTGATAAACCCAAAAGGGGTGCCCTTCTTAGCTATAGGTTCGTCTTGGAAACCCTAAGCCCTAAACCCCAAACCCCAAACCCCAAACCCTAAACCCTAAACCCTAAACCGCCTAGTTAAGGAGCCTTCGGAAGCTTAGGGAAGGTACCCTCGCGGCCCCCTACTTGGGCTCCTACGGAGCTCCTGGGTTTGAACTGGCTTAGATGTTTCACGGGTTTATTTAGGGTTTGGGGTTTAGGGTTTAGGGTTTAGGGCTTAGGGCTTAGGGCTTAGGGCTTAGGGCTTAGGGCTTAGGGCTTAGGGCTTAGGGCTTAGGGCTTAGGGTTTGGTTTTTTTTGTAGGGTGTGTACAGGGTGCTTTTGGGGTATTTATACGGTTTACAGGGTTGGGTTAGGTGTTTAGGGTTCGAACCTTCCCCTTGATTTCGAAAAGGACGCAGGATTCAGGGGAAAACCTTGACCTAAACCTAAACCCTAAACCCTAAGCCCCGTCAGTGAAAGCGCCTTCCGATTCTTCTGAGGCTTCCTTGGGATGGCGTTCGACGCTTTGCCTCACCTGGGTCTGGAACCCAGACGGTGAAGGGGGTTTGGGGTTCAGGCCTTTAGGGTTTAGGATTTGGGATTTAGGGTTTGGGGTTTAGGATCTTGAGCGTTTTGTCTGAGATTTAGGGCTTTAGGGTTTTCGCGCGCTGTTGTTTGTGTATGCTTCAGGGTTCTACGAAGGTCTTCAGGGTCTTGATATTTGTTTAGTTTACTTTTTAGGGTTTGTTTGGGTTGGCTTTTCCCCTGATCCCAAGTGTTGGCAGGTTTAGGGCTCAGGATTGGTTTAGGGCTCATGGTCAGCCGACAACGGGTCTCATCCACGAAGATCGCCCAACCACTGAGCCCTTGGCCCCTAAAAACCCTTGAACTCTAGAGCGCTAGACAACATGGTTCAGGGTTTAGGGTTTAGGGTTTAGGGTCTAGTCCACTATCTTTTCGGGCTGGCCAGGCACTGTTGCTTGTTTTGTGGTTCCCAGGTTTACTTCCCTGGTGGCCCAGTGGTAGCCCTTACTTTTTTATTGGTTCTGGGTTCCCTTAAAAGTGACTCCCCCCCCCAAAAAAAAAAGGAGAGGTGCCCTCATTATGATGTGATTACTGGCCTACCAAAGTTCCTACCCGAGACCTTCGGCGCTCCGTAATCAATTCAAAAGGACACCCTTTTATTTGTAGGTTGCTCTTGGGGCTTGTATATAAGTCTTTAAGCACCCTGAAAGCCCAGAGGGTTTAGGGTTCATAGCCCTAAACCCTAAACACCGGACCGTTTCCCTCTAGGGCACTCAGCCGGGAACCCTTGCTAGCCTCGAAACTTAGACCGCACCATGAGCACCTTGAAACACTTCCGAGGGTTTATGGGGCTTCAGGGGAGCTGCCTGCGGCAGGCCCTACTTTGCGCGCTTGCGACAGAATGCCCAGCGGTTGGGTATCTCATGGCCAGAGGCCGGTCGTTGTGTGCATGGAACATGGGGGGGGGGGGGCAGTTATGTCATGGATTTTTCCGGACTACACGAGGATTGATGCCTCCAGTCACACGACTTTTCGGAAGTGTTAGCACGTGTTTCCCTAAACCCTGTTTATAAAGCCTAAACCCTAAACCCTAAGCGGAACTCCAGAGGCTCCTTTTGAGCTGGGCTTGAGAGCATCTTCGCGCAAGGGCTGAGCCCGAAGCCCTGTGGAGCTTGTGAGCCTAAACTCCACAGCCCATTTCTAAACCCATGAGTCCTAAACCCCTAAACCCTAAACTCTTGACTCTAAACCCTAAACTTATGCCTTAAACCCTAAACCCTAAGCCCTAAACCCTAAGCCCTAAACCCTAAACCCGCAGACCCCAAGCAAAAGAAGGACCTGCCGCGGGCCCTGCGCGACGCCTTAGACAAGGCCCTGGCTTCGGCGCCCTGCCCGGGCCCCCGGATGCTTCGAAGGTTATAACTGACCTTGGGGACCAGATGAACACCTGTTTAGGGTTTAGGGTTTAGGGTTTAGGGTTTAGGGTTTTAGGGTTTTAGGGTTTTAGGGTTTTAGGGTTTTAGGGTTTTAGGGTTTTAGGGTTTTAGGGTTTTAGGGTTTAGGGTTTAGGGTCCTTGGGGACAAAGTGAACCCCAAAAGGGTTTATGGTTCATGTACCTTAGTAGGAATTTTCGTAGTAAAGGGTATATGACCCTAATATTGGGGTTCATTCTGTTGCCAAGAAATGAGGAAGCTTGGGCTGTGTTACGGGGTTCAGGCTGTGTCTGGAGTTCAGCGTTTTTTCTGTTAGAGTTCGGCTTGTTGTTAGGGGGTCTAAGGGTTATTGTCATTTATTCGTATTTAACCAATGTGCTTTTTTAAGGGGGTGGGGGGCGGGGGTTGGGGGGGGGGTATCCTCAACTCTGGACTCCCCACCCCGAACTCCTCTATCCCAAACGCTAACGCAGGCTCTCGAAACACCCAAAGGCAGGGCTGTAAACATCTCTACACCCGGAAGATGCCCTCGTAAGGTCAAAAGCCTCCGCCGCCCCTGCCCCCCTCCCGCCCCCCAACCCCCCCTCCCCCAAAAAAAAACAAAATGTCATACAACTCCTGATAAGTCCCTATAAGCCGCTAGAAACGTAAACCCCTATAATCCCCTAAACCCTAAACCCTAAACCCTAAACCCCTATAATCCCCTGCAAGTTCCTCGGAACCAGGCTGCGAGTCCCCAGCACCGCCTGCAGCGCCGGGGCTGCTCCGTGTGGAGCTGACGAAAGAAGGTGCCTTGGGCCTTGGCTGAGGGCAAGTTTAGGATTTAGGATCTATAGGGTTTAGGGTTTAGGGTTTAGGATTTAGGATCTATAGGGTTTAGGGTTTAGGGTTTAGGGTTTAGGGCTTAGGGTTTAGGGTTTTGGGTTTAGGGCTTTGCAGGTTTAGGAATTCTGGGTGTTGAGCAGTTGTTCTAGGTTAGAGAGTTGAGGAGTTCTCCTGGGATCTAACGGTTTTGTGGCTGCGTCGCGCAGAGGCAAAGTCTGCAGCGCTGCTTCAAGTAGCGGTTGGGGGTTCAAAGGGTTTAGGGCTTAGGGTTTAGGGTTTAGGGTTTAGGGTTTAGGGTTTAGGGTTTAGGCTTGGGCTACAATTCTGCTTGAATTGGACTGGGAGCTGTTCCGAATCTGAACTCTTATTTCTGAGAGCTGGCCGGAGGGAGGGGGCTTTTGACAAGGACCTCCTTCCTTCTATGGAAGGTTTCGCTTTCCCTCATCCGGCGCCTGCAGTCTGATCCACTGCTGACATGAACGCGTAAACTCTGCAACCTAGGTTTGGACGTGCCATGTCAAAATTAGGGCCGTTGGCTTAGCCGGTAGGGGCTTGCGGTATTAGTTCTATACAGGGTCCTGTAAAGTTCGCAAGGGATTCGATGTTCTAGGCTTGAGAGTCCCTTCAGCAGGTGCCGTGAACGCCGCCTTGCGTGCCCTGGCACTGGGGCCGAGCGACCCGTGGCAGGTACCCGTGGGAAGTTGTTTTTTGTTTTT